ATGTATAGATAGCCCCAACCCACTGGCCACATAGTATACTCCCGCATTACTCATGAATAGATGACCCACCATATGGGTCATGGGGAGACACTACGTCCCCCTACCAGGAGGCACTGTGAGTGGTCAGTGATCATTCCACCCCATCTTTTTTAAATTGCAACCCCGACCTGATGCCCAATGGTGGTACTATTACTATGGCTGTCCCGTGCAAAATCATTTGTTAGCCACCATCTGCTCACTGTTTGGTAGACATGTCCCACTCATGGCTGGATGAGTGAGGGCATGGGGAAGGTATAAATCTCCCTTGTACTACTGGTATTTTATTTAATTTCTTTTTAATGACTAACATAATTATTCATTAGAAAAGAACAGTTTACTCTCGTCACTTCTATTTTTAACCCCTCACTTAAAGGACCACTCCCCTGCCTACACACAAAATAAATAAAAAATGACTGTTTATTAGATAAACCCCCAAATTAAAACTTTTTTGCATTTAATTATGCATATTTTTATTAGTGTTATATTTAAAAACAGGTTGCAAAAATTGCATTTCTCTTGTCTGTTGCCTTTGCCCAGACTTTCTCTGGCTGTCCAATCACAGACTGCCCAATGCAGTACAATGTAAAGTCTTTGCAAGGCAGGTGCTCTGACCAATTGCTGCCTCTCGAGTTTAACTCCACTGACCTAACCAAACCAGGAAGTAATAAGACCTGTTGTCTACTTGAAAGCCAGGGGGTGTTACCAGGTAAATTCATAAAAGTGTACATTTTTATTGAATTCTGCACTTTTTGCAAAATGAAAAAGAGGACACACTCTTCACAAATAAAGCATTTCAGCAAGCTACAGTTCCTTTGGGGTCTGGAGTGTCTCTTTAAGAGCAATGAGAGGGAGGTTAAAAATACAATTGGTTCACCAAAATTTACTTTTTAAGCGCAATTATGCAACCAAGGTTCGGTAAATCGAACCAAAATATGATTTCATCTCACTCAAAAAGTTTTTAAATTTCTGCCTAATATCTTTTATGTCCCACTCATGTTGCCTCTGATGCATTGAGGCATGTACTCCACTGTAGCGAAGTGCTAGTCCTGACCAGGACACTTCCTCCTCTGGATCCGTGAAGACCGGAACTCTGAAACAAGGCGCTGTGAAGTGAAGTGAATAGCTCTATCCCTCAACAGTAATTGGACAATACACAGTTCTGGGAGTACAACTGATTTATTCAGCAAAACCTGCCTTTTATGCACAGACCCCTAGCATAGAGTCTACATTACAAAACTACACAAGCCCCTCCCAGGCGTCCCTGTGTCTGGGAGATAATTGAGTCAAAACTGAGTAACTTAATTATCTCTCAGTTACAGGAAACTACATGAACAAACATAGAACACCCCAAAACATAGTCATATTTCACAGGAATCCCACAAGTCTTATATCCCCAAATAGCCTGGATCTGAGCGTCCAAGTTGCCCAAATAGCACTCGGATCCATTTGGTGGAACGGAATCTCCATTCGAGTAAAGTTCTGACTGACCAGCCAAAAGGTGATGACCCAAATTAGTTCCAGTGAAACAATGGCAATGGCCGGTCTACTTTCAGGGGTTTCTGTGTGAACACCAACGAACGCTTTTGGAGATGCTCTGACCCAGTCACCTAGCCATCACTATTCGGCCCTTGACAAAATCACTCAGATCTTTTTGTTTGTCCATTTTTCCTGCTTCTAACATATGTAATTCAAGACTGGCTGTTCATTTGCTGCCTTATATATCACAGGCCTTAACTGGTGCCATTACAACAATAAAATCAACGCTATTCACTTAACCTGCCAGTGGTTTTAATGTTGCCGATTATGGGTACATACACACACATATAAGCAAATGATAAGCTGGGGAAAGTCTTGTCATTCCTTACTGCACTGTCTGAATGAAACCTTCATTTAAAACCACAGGGTGGCAGCATGACAACTTTTACATTGTTTTAAGTGTTTTAAAAATATGACTTACATTGTATTGTGCTTGTTTAAACCATTTTCTTAATTTTCAGGAGTTTGTCATTGAAAACAGAAATCTGTGGCTAGTCGTGAAAAAGATTTTCAAATGCAAACCAAAGAGTGAATATAAGAAGCTGCAAAGTTCATTGGATAAAGACAGAACTCACTGTGTGTATCACTGTTGAAACTGTTCTCCTCGTCATGAATCACCATTAAGTGGCATTAGGTTCTAAGAACCAATATCTATTCTATGTAATAAATTTATCACCAAAGCAGAAAGAAATGTCAGTAAAAAAAAATCTAAATTGAACCTATAGATGGTGTGACTTTTGCCTTCAAAAACATAATTCTTCTTGGTATACTTGCCAACAATTTTGTAAGGAACTCTGCAGGTTGGTGTTTCCTGTAGATGTCATGCCATCAACCCAGGACTCATTCTTCCTTATGCTAAAAATAGTTAATGACTTTGACTGTATTTATGGGGTCATTGCCATGCTACAGAAAAAATCTGGGACCCTCTCTTCCCCCATATTGTATTGCATGATCCATAAGTATATGCCTGTACTTCTTAGTATTGAAGAGACTATTAATTCTGAACAAATCTCCAACTGCATATGCAAAAATGCAGCATTCTTATATAACTCTCCAGCTCTTGGGCGAACAAATTGCCTTCTGATACAAATATTAAAATATTCACTCGTCAGTCCAGGGCACCTGCTGCCATTTTTCTGCACACTAGTTCCTGTGTTTTCATGCATAGTTGAGTTGCTTGGCCATTTCAAATATATGACCAGACTTCTCCTGTCAATAAATGGGTGTATCATGGTCTCACTAGTTTCTGCCAATTCTGAACTGATGGCACTGCTGGACACCTGGCAATTATGGTTGGAATAACCATGACATGGATGTGTCTTTCAACTGCTTCCACAAGTTTCCTTGGCTAATCACTTTGTCTACAGTCATAAATGTCCCATCTCTGCTTGATAGAGTCTTTGTTGATGTTGTATAACACCCTTGTTGCTCTGTTAAGTGTTGCCAAAGTGTATGACTTTTGGCATTAAACTGTCTTAAAGGAGCACTCTAGGCACCCAGACCACTTCAGCTTAATGAAGTGGTCTGGGTGCCAGGTCCCTCTAGGATTAACCCCTTTTTTTATAAACATAGCAGTTTCAGAGAAACTGCTATGTTTATAAATGGGTTAATCCAGCCTTGAAATCCTCTAATGGCTGTCTCATTGACAGCCGCTAGAGGCGCTTGCGTGCTTCTCACTGTGAAAATCACAGTGAGAACACGCAAACGTCCATAGGAAAGCATTGTAAATGCTTTTCTATGAGACCGGCTGAATGCGCGCGCAGCTCCTGCCGCGCGTGCGCATTCAGCCGAAGGGGAGGAGAGGAGGCGGAGAGGAGGAGAGCTATAGTGGTCCTTTAAGCAACCCAAACTTTCTGACAGAGTTTAGCTGTTCCTGTTGCATTGTGAGTATATTTCTCCAAATGCTAACAGTTAAATTTTTTTCAGTTTTAACACTGTTTTTAATTGCTTTTATCACATTAATTTTGTATTAATTTTGTATTGTGCGCCATAACTTAATTTGTATCATGTATGTCTTTGTATGACTGTGTCTGCATGTCCCTGTATGACTATCTGTGTATCTGTGTCTGTATGTCTCTATAGGCCTGCATCACTTTGTCTCTGCCTCTGTATGACTGGGAGGAGTGGTAAAATGCATCTTCGCCTGTTTAGCCAAAATCCTTTCACTGGCACTGAACAACATCAACTTGTATTTTTATTGTCTACGGACATATAAAAAATCTAAAATTATATATGCTCTCCACTAAGTGTAATACTACATACCCCTAACCTAGCCTTGGAGATAACAGTTAGATATATGTTGTAATAACACTGAACTCTTTTTAATTCAGGGTATTAATTACTGCTTAAATGACACTATATAAATATTGTGTGACATTTTGAATGGCTATTATAATAAGAACCAACATAGTTTTAGAACTACCATGATAACTACATATTTTTTTAAAATTAGAATGAACAAGCTGGTATCAATAAATGATAACGTTTTTACATTTAACTAATATTTTATTCCTAGATTTTTCTATTTATTTATTTTTTACATTTGGAATAGTGCCAAATGTCATTTTGTAAAGTCTACTTTTCACATTTTGCAAGCATTAGCATCTAAAAATATTAGCATACCACTCTTCATCTTATCCCTTGAACCCCTAGTGTATAAAATTAGGCAACATTAACACATAGAAAGCAAATGCATAGGAGAAAAACTATGTCTATGTTCGCAGATGACATTCTATTAACTTTCTAAGTAACCTCTCCTTATCCCTACCAACACTATTACAACTACTTCATGACTACAGACAGATATCACAATGCTAATTAAATCAAACCAAAACCCAGGTATTATCGATAAACAATCCATCCCACCTGACCACATCACACATATAACTTTGACAGTAGAACTATGAACATCCAATATTTGAGAATTAATTTAACTGTGAATATCCAGAGCATGTTTAATGCTAACTACAAACCACTACTGAACAAATGTAGATCTTAGCTGCTCAAGTGGAAATCAGTTCATTCTTCCTGGCTAGATACGCTAAACTTGGTAAAAATGATGATTGTACCAAAAACATTGTATGTCTTTTGTATGCTCCCCATAGCCATACCACAGACAATTGCAGACAATTGCAGTCTGTCTGCTCCTCTTACATATGGAACTCTAAAATACCCAGACTGACACTAGCACCCTCCTGGTAGGGGGTGATAGTGAGAGGGAGGTGAGATACTGGGAGGGATGGGGTGATAGCGTGAGAGAAGGAGTGATAGTATGAGGGAGGGAGGGCGTGATAATGAGAGGAGGGGGGATACTGGGAGGAAGAGCGGTGATAGTGTGAGGGAGGGGGTGATGGTGTGATGGAGTGGGCATACTGGGAGGAGGGTGATAGTGTGAGGAAGGGGGATACTGGGAGGGAGGGGTAATGGTGGTGTAGTAGGGGGCTGAGATTGAATACCTTAAATCCCTGGTGGTCCAGTGTCCTTCATGCGTTGGTGGTCTGGTGGTGATTTCCATCTGCAGCTCTGCAGTGTGCAGAGCTGCAGACCATGCACCTCACGAGACCTGTTCAGAGCATTGCCGTGGTAACCCATGACAACGCTCTGATTGGCCAGATCTCACGAGACACATGGTCTGCAGCTCTGCACACTGCGAAGCTGCAGACTGGCAGCCACGGGCGCTCTCCCCCCAGGCAGATGGCACGGAGGGGCCTCGCACCTGGTGGGATATCGAGACACATTAGTCTGCCCTAAGGTGGTTTAGGCAGCTGTGAGGCCCCAGACAGCCCCTACCGGTGCAAGTATTGCATCACCTCTGCTGGAAAGCTCCATGCAGACCCAAACTACTCTCTACATGTTATAAATCCTTAATACACACCATTACAAGTAGCACTCTCCCTTTTGAGAGCCAATGGGCCAAGGAATGTGGCAACTCCCCCAGGATACAGATTGGATTGCCACTATCAATGCACTTAAAGGTATTACGAAATGATATTCACATATATAGGCCCATAGGAAACTCATCTACCGCTGGTACCTAACACCCAACAAACTGCATAAAATATACCCTAATGTTCCAGCCTTCTCCTGGAGATGCTGAACAGAAGAGGGCACCATGCACCACATCTGGTGTGACTACTGGGATATTCAACCACTAAGGGAGGGAGTGACGGAAGTCCAAAGGGCTCCCACCATTCCATTAATTACACATGACCCTACCACTTATCTTTTCTTGAAATTCCCTCACCCTCTGCCCAAACAAAACAGGTAGCTGGTGGTAATGGTCTCACTAGCCGCAAGGCATCTGATTGCAATATCCTGGAAACAAACTATATGCCCCACTAAAGCCCAGTTAATAGAAAAAACATGTCAATACTGTATATACGAAAAAATGGTGGCAACTTCCCAGTCAGATCGAAGATGCACTGCCGAAATGTGGAAGGTATAGTAAGCACTATACCCTGACTGAATACCCTATTTTTTTTTAAACTTAGGATATGTTACAAGTACATGTTTCCTTTCTCTTCTTCACCTATCTTCTTCCTAGTCCATTTCCTCTCCTACCTCACCCATACATGGTACCTACAACTACAGAGATGCACGCTACACACTTGTGAATGTAAGAATATGTACATCTTTTATTTTATTTTTTTTCTTTCCTGACCTAAACTGATGACAGTTTTAAAACGACCATGTAATACATATGTAACGCTCATGTAAATATTTGCTTGTGACTGTGTACATCTTCTAGTGCAATACTGTTTGGCACTTGTGATACCATGTTTATTCTCTTACTGTAATACTGTTTTCTCAAAAAACTGAAAAATCCAATTAAGACGTTTTAACAACATAGACAGAATAAATGTGAATACAGAAAGCCTTCTACAACTGACTTAATTGCTGTCAGTTACTTTGTTACTTGGATGCAGGCCTGGACTGGCCAATGGGCAAGCATGGTATGAGCACAGTGGACAGCAATGACTATGTAACAAGGCCGACAGGGGAGATCAGAGGATCTCTCCTGCCGGCCTTGCTGTGTGCCTTCATGGGCCAGTGAGAAGATCAAAGATCTCCCTCACTATCCCACAGGCAGTTCACTGAGACAAGGAGCAGGGAGAGAAAGACCTGGGGGCTCAAGCCTGCATCTCCGCTGGGATGTTCTTCTTGCATGCTCGGAGCATTGCCATAGTTACCATGGCAACAATCTTACAGTACTGAATTTCAGGAGAGTGAACTCTAGCTTTTCAACATTGCACCCTGCACCATTCACACACACGCCCTTTCATCTCTATTATCCCACTTATGGAGACATCAAAGGCAAGTCACAAGCAAATTTACTTGTGCTGCACAGAACAAACATAGTCTTTTTTCTCATACAAGTACCTGGAAGAGCATTGAACCAACATAATCACCTTCTTGGGGATTACTTTTCATTGGTGATGACTGAACACTTCCCTCATTGAGCCACTGCGATTAAAAAATGCCCAGTTCGGTTCTATTTGGATGGACTACTGACTCCAATCAGAGACGCAGCTTACAGTATCCAGCAATCGGTGCCACAGGTTACAATGTTCTGTAAACACTGGCACATTCTGCATTACTAAACATAACATAACAGGTTCAGGACACACTGTATTAAACATAAAATATAAATTACATGTTACTTGTCATCTTTGCTCCCTATGAGCATCATTTGGTGCAACACTGTACATCTGTACATTTAAAATTGTAAAGTACTTGCAAATTATCTATTAATATGTCAGTAGCCTTGGGACAGAAATGTACTGTTCTAGTCATTCCTGGAAGCCTCACATGCCATTACTCAAGTTTTCCAAGTTCAATGAAAAGAAAAATACATTTATTATTTGGTATATAACCCTAGGCACCATGTCTCGTTACCACTGCTTATGATGCTTCTATATACTAAATGGGAAATACTGGTTAATATTAATTCTGTTTTTAAATGTTGAAGAATTCAACCTTAAATTGTCAGGATCTTATTAGATTAAAATTAAACTTTTGTATTTCTGTACCTGGTATCACTGAGATATTGTAAAAAGTATACCTTGCAAAGTCATATTTTTTAGATCAATAAGTATTGTAAAAATGTAAAGAATTCCTGATGTTTACTATCTATTTTGCTGTCCTAGCACACATTTCTCATCCATCTTTGATTACATACATGGAATATTGTTTACATATGTTTACATATTACATGTAAATGGGGTGCCAAAATTCAGAGTTGGGTTTGAGAAGTCAATAACTTTTTTATTAATTAACCAATTTCAATCATATTACATATAATGAATGCTTAACATATGGAGATTTGTTTGACTAGGTAGGGAAGATGTCATATTTTAAATGATCTTAATTTGCCTCCTTGCAAAATCGGGCTCTTTGGATTGCATTGTCCATAACATTAGTTAATGTTTGAGGCTCTAGCGCTCGAAATACTGCTTGGATATTCTCATTGAGCTGCTCAAGTGTACACATTTTTTTCCCTACACTCACACTTTCAGATATTCACATACAAACTAATCGGTTGGGTGAATGTGACGGCAAATTAATCTGGTTATTTCTAGAATTATCCACTCGCAGAACAGTTGTCTCAGTTTTGAATATAAAATACCACTATGTTTAGTCATTGTCCATTTGTGGAATTACTCAAATAAATTGAACTACTAACGAATAAGTTATTTACCTGTCAAAAATTGTGGCCCAAAATATATATGTAGGAAATAGGAGTAGGTGATGTATAGAGTCCCACAAGGGGAAACTAACATCAGGAGAGCTCCATTGTATAAGAAATGAGGAAGGGGGGCCCTACCTTTAATCAATCTAAGGATAAAAAGGGATATGCAAACAAAAAGTATAACTTGGAAAAAAAAAATGGAGCTCTACTAAATGGTACCCAGGGGATCAATTGTCTAGAGTACTAACTAGCATCTAAGTTCCAGTTCCCCTAGTGTCCGACTGACGGGAAGGTAGTGTAAACGAGGTTAGGGAGAGAGAAAAGGCACAGGGTCCCCAGAGAACAAGGGACCAGGTAATCTGGTCTAAATGCAGATGAAAAGCCTCACACAAAATATAAATAAATAAATAAATCTCTCAATTTACCCTAAGAGTTATCTCAACACCGTGGTCTGACCACTAGCGTCTACCTGATCCAACTCTCCCTACTGGGGAAGGGGGTCGCCCCTGCATTGTCCCATAGGATGGGACAGGTACTATGGAGGTGGTTACCGTAAAAACTGCCCACCGACTGGTCGGGGCGTGTGGATGTGTGGTACATCCCAGTTAGACAACAGAGCTGTACCTCTGCGTCAATTAACTTATATTTGCACACATATAAGTAAAGGCACTCTAGAATGTGGGGGGTCACCCCATTAGCAGTAAGGGGGTCACCCTTAATATAATGTTGCCACAGGCAGTTGGTAATGATATAATCCAGGTATTGTCACTTGAGTACGTAAACACATAAACATAGGCACTCCAGTAAGTGTGGGGTCACCCCAGTAGCAGTAAGGGGGTCACCCTTAATACAAAGTATTCACTGGTGGCTGGTAATGATATCATGAGGGTATTCCTGTTAAGGTGTCATATGGTATCCTTAAATATATATATATATATATATATATATATATATATATATATATATATATATATATATATATATAAAATATTGAATTCTGTTCAATACAGTCCCAAAATTGTAGTGGCATAGAGAAGGTGGGTTCCCCATACAAAATTATTTTTTATTTATATATATATATATATATATATATATATATATATATATATATATATGTAGGGCCTTGGTAAGGCGTGGGGGCTCACCCCAGCCATAAGGGGGGTCACCCCTATAGAATTTTCTCCCTGAAGGGTCTGCACAAGTCTCGCTTTGGGGTCACCCAGTGTAGGGGGGTCACCCCTGTAGTATTCCTGCAACCGAAATGTCTGTGCAATTCTCACTTGGGGGTCACCCACCATAGAGGGGGGGCACTCCTGTAATATGTTTGCCACTGAAAGGCCTGTGCAGGTCTCGCTTGGGGGTCACCCAGCATAGGGGAGTCACCCCTGTATATGTATGTCACTTAGGACTAGTGCCAGACTCGCTTGGGGGTCACCCAGCATAGGGGGGTCACCCCTGTATATGTATGTCACTTAGGACTGGTGCCAGATTCACTTGGGTTCACCCAGCGTAGAATCCTGTCAGTAGAGAAGACGCGATCGGGGTAAAAAGCTGCTATCCGCGCGAGGATAGTGACAGGGGAAACACAGGGCCAGCATAAAAACACAGATAAAGCAATATTAAACCAACATAAGGGGAAAAGCAGGGAGAAGGGGAGCAGGGGATAAATAACAATACACAAATGTTCAAATAAAGTGCAAATAGCTATTACAATAAATGAACAGTGTGGAGCAAATTACTCTGACTTGTGCCTTGGCTGGAGCAGCAAAGAAAGAGGAAGTGATACAGGGGGAGGGGCCTTTTATACCCTGTTGCAGTGTTTTTTTCACTAAACTTTATTGTTAAATCTGTGCTGCTGGAGTTTTAGTAAAGAGAGATTATGCAAAATACAAAGCGTCCTGTCATGTTATAAAATTATATTATGACTAATATTATGACTGCTGACTGCAGTGTCCAAGCCATGTCTATAGTGGGTGACAGGAGAGTCTACACTGTGTCTGGTGACTGTGCCATTTATGTAATGAACCATGAAACAGATGTATTTGATTGGGCTCACTTGTAAACAATAGGCAGCATTTACTTCTAATCAGAGAATTATGCAAATGAGGAGGCTGGATCTGTGTGAAATAAATGTGGCTAGATGAAAACAAGAGCCTAGTAAGGAAGGATTATTAGATCATTTCACATTCCAGTGCTGAGGGATTGAGCTCTGTTGGATAGTTTAAGCAAAATGAATCAAAAGTATGATTTGCTTAACCAAGGCGAGGATAATGAAATGGTAAGTCATTCAAGTGATTATCATTGTATATAACTGTAAATACAGCATCTATTTTAATTGTGATTAGCATTATTACATATTTCAGATTGTTGCAATAAGAGCCATCCAGCCACCTTAGTCCCTTAGGTTCCATGTGTTTAGCTAAAAGAATGTCATTATTTAAGTATACAGTATGATACAGACATTCCTATCTTTACCAACATTCAGGTTTAGGAGAAATGCAAGAATTAAATGTTTTCATCACATATTCTTTATTAAAGACAAATAAGTAGCTCACAATAACTAAAAAGACACAGTATAGGATGTGATTGATGATTTTTGAAAACAATTTTTTTTTGCATATATTACTTTAAAGTTGGTTTGTTAAATTACATTATATATATAGTTTTTGTTTTATCTCAAGTTATTTATTTAAATTTTGAGATAAATACCTATAGAATGTGTTGCTACGTTTCTGTATATTCATATTTCTGCAATTCTTCAAATAAAGCATGCAATTTTTTTATAAAATCTATTTTAAAAGATCTAGCTAAATCTTTGTATATTCAGTAAACCTATGTACATGTTTTTTAAACATATATTTCTCCAATTTCCAAAGAAAACATGCTCATGTTTATGAAATCTATTTTAAGAGATCATTGAGTGCTTTAAATTCATAATATCATGATTATTCACAAAAGTAAGAATCCAAGGTGAATTAAAAGTGAATTTAAATTTAAGGTCAACATTGCCAAACTGGAAAAATTCTCTATATCTGCTATGCTTTCCATTCAGCTACTCTGACCTTGAAATTGAAATTTACTTGGAATTCTCACTGTAGTGAATAAACCTGTATATATTTTCCATTAATCTGGACATTACTGCACCTCTTCTGTTTGTGAGTGAACAATAAATGGAAGATTCTATTCTCGCCCGGAGCAGCTCAGTTCAGTGTCATTGGGGCAAGAACTTTTCAAACCTTCTGACATGGCACAGGTTAATCATCTCAAATTTATAATGCCTACTCCTAGCTGAACATATATATATATATATATATATATTTTTTTTTATTTTATTTTTTTTTTCTGCTCATACATTGTCCATATTCTGCAATCGGCGCTATCCAGTGAACGGGTGCAATTTTCTATAACTATGACTTAGCAGCTTAGCTGCATTAGCCACAATTCTGAGGATTCAAAGTTAAACCATAAATGCTTAAAGTGATGAAGGGGTGTTTCTAAACAAAGTGTGCAACTAAGCTGCTAACAAATACAAATTGGCACTGTACTGACAGAAAATGGCCCAGTGGGCAGGTTTATTTTACTTTTCCTCCCAGTTTAAGGTTGTCAGATGAGTAAAACATTAACGATAAATGGCACAATCTGGAATGAGATTTTTTTTTTACTGTTTGTTTAACTGAATAAAATCCCACTGGTAATCACTTAAAGCGGCACTGTCATGCCAAATCCTGTTTTTTTTAACCCCCCTCCCGCCTCCACTATCTCTAATTGACCCCCTAGTCACCCCCAAATGCCCCTAAGCCTCCCACATTACCTATTTTTTTATCTTTATTTTCTGCCCCAATCTTTATTCAGGGCGCCGCCATCTTTGTGTGGGTAGAGGAAGTCCCTGTGGGACACGTCATCTGCCCACACTAGATAGCCTGTAAGATTCCCGCACATGCCCAGTGAAACACCTGGACATGCGAACAGGAATTTCATCTATTCATTCATTCATCAGACAGACGAATTAATGAATAGAAAAATCAGACGAACAAACTAACACTGTGTATCAGTGTTCGTTTGTTCGTTCAGTTTATTACAAGGAGGGAGCTACCGGCATGCAGCTCCCTACTTGTAATATGTAAAGATAGAAGCAGCAGGGAGAGACAGTGCTCGCCGCTACTTCATAAGCCCCCCAATGCCCCTACTCACTATACCGCGAATAGGGGCATGACCACTAAACAGTGAGCAGCCTGTGGCTGCTCCCTGTAAAAAAAAAACAAAAAAAATTATTGGCCCCCACCCCTGCACGGCGGGTGGGGGCCATAATGATAATGAGGGGGGGACGACCTATAGTCCCCCCGGCCCCCACCCCTAGGCAGTGGGTGGGGGCCATAATGATAATGAGGGGGGACGACCTACTGTCCTACCCCCAGGCCCCCACCCCTGGGCGGTGGGTGGGGGCCATAATGAAATTGGGGGGGAAAACCTACTGTCCTCCCCCACAGGCCCCCACCCCTGGGCGGCGGGTTGGGGCCATAATGATAATGAGGGGGGGACCTACCGTCCTCCCCCTCTGGCCCCCACCCCTGGGTGGCGGGTGGGGGCCATAATGATAATGGGGGGGGAACCTACTGTCCTCCCCCCCTGGCCCGAACCCCTGGGTGGCGGGTGGGGGCCAAATGATAATGATGGAGGGGACTATTTGCAATAGTAGACAATAGTAGACAACCCAAGGTATTGCAAATGGGGTATGTCCAGTCTTTTTTAGTAGCCACTTAGTCACAATCACTGGCCAATGTTAGCGTTAATATTTTATTGTGTTTGAAAAATGCAAAAAACTAATTTGAACGCCAATTGTGGCCACTGTTTGTATATCATTTTATTCAGGGGAAACACGGCTTTCATTTAATATCAAATATTTAGATGTGAAACATAATTTAATATGAAAAAAATGGGAGAAAACAAGGTTCTACATGACATTTTAACTGTCAATGTCATAATACTGTTTGCTTTTACTGCAATAAAATACACATATTTTTATTCAGCAAAGTCTCACGTGTGAAACAGTACCCCTTATGTACAGGTTTTATGGCGTTATGGGAAGTTACAGGGTCAAATATAGCACGTACCATTTGAAATTGAAATTCGCCAGACAGGTTACGTTGCCTTTGGGACTTTATAGTAGCCAGGAATGAAATTTACACCCATAATGGCATACCATTTGCAATAGTAGACAACCCAAGGTATTGCAAATGGGGTATGTCCAGTCTTTTTTAGTAGCCATTTGGTCACAAACACTGGCCAAAGTTAGCGTTAGTATTTGTTTGTGTGAAAAATGCAAAAACGCCAATTTTGGCCAGTGTTTGTGACTAAGTGGCTACTAAAAAAGACTGGACATACCCCGTTTGCAATACCTTGGGTTGTCTACTATTGCAAATGGTATGCCATCATAGGGGTAATTTTCATTCTTGGGCTACCATAGGGTCTCAAAGGCACCGTAACCAATCTGGCGAATTTTAATGTGAAAAAAATGAAACGCAAGCCTTATATTTGACGCTGTAACTTTTGAAAACACCATAAAACCTGTACATGAGGGGTACTGTTGTACTCGGGAGACTTCGCTGAACACAAATATTTGTGTTTCAAAACAGTAAAAAGTATCACAGCAATAATATCGTCCGTGTAAGTGCTGTTTGTGCATGAAAAATGCAAAAAACGTCACTTTTACTGGCGATATCATCGTTGTAATACATTTTACTGTTTTGAAACACTAATATTTGTGTTCAGCGAAGTCTCCCGAGTAGAACAGTACCCCCCATGTACAGGTTTTATGGTGTCTTGGAAAGTTATAGGGTTAAATATAGTGCTAGCCAATTAAATTCCCTTTACTTTCGGCATGGGTTGTCATGCAGGTCCCGCTAATTGTAATTAATTAAGATACCTAATTATGTAAAAATATTACATAAATATATATGTAGAATTAATATATGTATATATATATACATATGTGAATCTATATGTGTATATCTATATAATTTTTAAAA